CGTGCCTGGTGGCCCTCTCAGCCAGAAGCCCGGTACCAGAACCAGCAGCTGTGGGCCGGTTCCTCCGGGTGAATTCGTGCTGCTCGACTCAAACAGGAAATGCCTCAGTGGGTTTATCAGCCTCACTTCCTGTTGAGGATAAACAGGAACCTTCATGGGGATGAAGGTTCTGTTCTGCAGGCCGGATCCGGATCCTCTCGTCAGCTGCAGATGATAATCCTGAGGAATCGCTGCATGTTGCAGTTCTGGACCTGCAGAAGTTTGGAGGTTCTGTTCGGGTCGGTTCTGATCCAGATGAGTAATATTTTCTGTCTCAGTTTGAACATAAAATATGTTTGTTTGGAGAATTCAGCCGAATGTGGTTCTGGTTCTGGTCACACGGTCCTCTGACCTTCATCATCCTCGTCTTCCTCAACTGATGGCAGGAAACAGCTGCCCGTCAGGACGAGCCACCCTCAGTGAGCAGAAAGTGATGTCATCACACAGGAAGTGATGTCAGCACACCGGAAGTGATGTCAGCACACAGGAAGTTATGTCAGCGCGCAGGAAACGGCGGCTTGTTCTTTGTTTGGTTCTGGACGAGCAGCTGGAGTTCTGCTTTGTCTGGATTGGATTACAGTTCAGGACCGGTTCTGGGTGCGACCCGCAACATCAGTTAGAGCTGCAGAACCAGAACCGGTCCAGTTTCCTCTGCTCTGATCTGTTCTGGTTGGTTCTGTTCGGGGTTCTTGCTGAGCCGGGGTAGGTTGGCTCGTTTGCTGGCCCGATTGTGCAGCTGCATTCTGGTTCCAGCTGGTTCTGACCCACACAGATCCAGACTCATCAGAGCCAGAAAGAGATGCAGAAAATCCGATAAATCTGGGGACTTCCTCGGCACCGTTTGGACCCGGCTTCTCATCAGAACCTGCTGCGTCTCTGCATGTCAGCGCCTGTTGCTGCAGTTTCATCATCCTCGTCTTCATCATGTCGACTCCTGCTCTGCAGCTCTCATGAAGTGACGTGTTTGGACGAGATCTAAACCAACTTCTGTTTCACAACAACCAGCACCGCTGAACCGGGACAGCAGCAGAACCTCTGCTAGTTCTGCACTCGGACCGGACCTGTGTGTCTGCAGACCAACTCAGACTGGTTCTGACCAGATAAACTGAAAGCTTTGAAGGAGCTGCCAGCTGTTTGTCCTCCTCAATTATCAAATTGCATATTTTAGATACTTTATTTATCCTGAAGAGGGAAACTCGCATCTCGCAGTAAATCGACAAATAAATGCAACTAAAATAAGAGGCACAAACCAACTTTCACACACAAGCCTCCATTCCTTTTTGGTAAATTATTGGTTTGTAGAAAAAAAGCATTCTTTTTTTTTTTGTAATGTTGTAAATTTACCAAATAGTTAATCTGAAAAATTCTAGCCATGGGCGCGGGAACTGAAACAGGAAGTTCTACAGGTTGTTTGGAGCAGTGGGCGGAGCTCCAGAGGTCCTCCTCCATTCTGATTGGTTGCTGAGGTTGGAGGCGGTCCATAAAGGTCACTGAACTTGATCTGAACTGACCAACTGACTGTGACATCACTTCCTGTCTCTTTTTGGTTTCCAGAGAGGTTGTACAACTCCAAAGGCCCAGAGCTGAGGCGCTGCCTGTTCTCCCTCAAGCAGCTCTTCCAGGTAACCGCCTGCACACTCACCTGAGCTACGACCGGACTTCCTGAAGTTCGTATTGCATTTCCCAGCATGCAGCGCTGCTGGTCTTCTGCTGCAGCTCCTCCTGCAGCTGGTAGAGGGTGCACTCAGCACGGAGCATTCTCCTTCTGCTGCCTCCAGCTGAACAGCTCCACCTGCTGGACGATGAGCTCAGCGGCTGCAGGATACGATCTGCAGAGTCTGGTGGAGGGCAGAGGTCATCCTGGAGCTGCTGCCTTCCAGAATGAACTCAGGGAAAACCCTCTTGACATGATGATGATGATGAAGATGGTCTGTGTGTCCAGGACGATAAGGATCTGGTCCCAGAGTTTGTAGCGTCTGAAGGCTTGGCGTGTTTCATCAAGGTTGGAGCCGAAGCCGACCACAACTACCAGAAACTACATCCTGAGAGGTAAGGCTCCACCCTGAGACGTGGTCCCACTCCTGGCAAAAATACTCAGTTTTCCATACCAAATCCAATTTACAGGTTTAATTGATTTTAATTCTTGTTTTCTCTTCTAAAAAATACATTCTAAAAAAGCCCAACCTGTGAGTTGTCTAAGTATTGCATCCAGACTATTAGAAGTTTTCTTTAATTGAAAATTACGATGAACTTGTAGAGTAGCGAGCAGCTCAGTGTGATTCTTTCTTTGTTTCAAAGTTTCTGCTGACGATAACCTGATGCTAACTCAAAAGATGAAGGATTTTCTTATCTGTAAAACTAAAATGACTCCATAAGATCCGCAGCATTCCTCATTTTAATGGAACGTTTTTCATTTTTTCTTTAAAAACTCATTAAATTATTAATTAATTCTCGTTACATTCCAACTTTATTCTTGTGATTTAAAGAATAAATAAATCAAGCTCCACATAATCAGAAGCTGTAAAACACAGCAAGCCCTCAGCGTGATGACATCACGCTGAATTACAGAAACCAAAGAAGCGCATTGGTGGGGAAACAGATTCATGACTTCATTCATTTACCAATGTGTGTCCCAGGCGTGTTTCAGAGATGGAAACTTTTCCAAATGTCTCTGCTGTCGTATTTGGTTCTGATCCAAATGGATCGCTGTTTTAGTCTCGGTCAGACAGGCGTCCTCGTCCCACAGGACGGAAACTTTGCTCTTCACACGTCCAGAGAAGCCGCAGAGTGCAGCCTCAGATTATAGCCCAGAGGCTGGGACCGTGGAGACTCATCTGTCTTCCTGTCTGTCCTCATCCCCACCATCCAGCTCTCAGCCAGATCATGCTGTTTGTGGACGGGATGAACGGCGTGATCCACCACACAGAGACGCTGCAGTGGCTCTACACGCTGACAGGAAGTGTGGTGAGTCAGAACCCAAAATCAACCTGAGACGCCTGATCAGCAGGGGGCTGGTGCCCCCTGCTGGTCAGACAGTGACTCTGCTCCTTCTGCCTCCAGTCTCGTCTGCTGGTGAAAACGGCTCTGAAGCTCCTCATCGTCTTTGTGGAGTACGCCGAGTCCAACAGTCCTCTGCTGATCAGCGCCGTGACAACGGTGGACTCAAAGAGAGGTACACACACAATACACAGAGAGGTACACACACAATACACAGAGAGGTACACACACACAATACACAGAGAGGTACACACACAATACAGAGAGGTACACACACAATACACAGAGAGGTACACACACAATACACAGAGAGGTACACACACAATACACAGAGAGGTACACACATTCAATATACAGAGAGGTACACACACACAAAATACACAGAAAGGTACACACACAATACACAGAGAGGTACACACACACAATACAGAGAGGTACACACACAATACACAGAGAGGTACACACACAATACACAGAGGTACACACACAATACACAGAGAGGTACACACACACAATACACAGAGAGGTACACACACAATACACAGAGAGGTACACACACAATACACAGAGAGGTACACACAATACACAGAGAGGTACACACACAATACACAGAGAGGTACACACACACAATACAGAGAGGTACACACATTCAATATACAGAGAGGTACACACACAATACACAGAGAGGTACACACACAATACACAGAGAGGTACACACACAATACACAGAGAGGTACACACACAATACACAGAGAGGTACACACATTCAATATACAGAGAGGTACACACACAATACACAGAGAGGTACACACACAATACACAGAGGTACACACACAATACACAGAGAGGTACACACATTCAATATACAGAGAGGTACACACACAATACACAGAGAGGTACACACACAATACACAGAGAGGTACACACACAATACACAGAGAGGTACACACACAATACACAGAGAGGTACACACATTCAATATACAGAGAGGTACACACACAATACACAGAGAGGTACACACAATACACAGAGAGGTACACACACAATACACAGAGAGGTACACACACAATACACAGAGAGGTACACACACAATACACAGAGAGGTACACACATTCAATATACAGAGAGGTACACACACAAAATACACAGAAAGGTACACACACAATACACAGAGAGGTACACACACACAATACACAGAGAGGTACACACACAAATACACAGATAGGTACACACACACATACACAGAGAGGTACACACACAATACACAGAAAGGTACACACACACAAAATACACAGAGAGGTACACACACACAAAATACACAGAAAGGTACACACACAATACACAGAGAGGTACACACACAAAATACACAGAAAGGTACACACACAATACACAGAGAGGTACACACACACAATACACAGAGAGGTACACACACACAATACACAGATAGGTACACACACAATACACAGAGGTACACACACACAATACACAGAGAGGTACACACACAATACACAGAGAGGTACACACAATACACAGAGGTACACACACACAATACACAGAGAGGTACACACACACAATACACAGAGAGGTACACACACAATACACAGAGAGGTACACACACACAATACACAGAGAGGTACACACACAATACACAGAGAGGTACACACACACAATACACAGAGAGGTACACACACACAATACACAGAGAGGTACACACACACAATACACAGAGAGGTACACACACACAATACACAGAGAGGTACACACACACAATACACAGAGATGTACACACACACAATACACAGAGAGGTACACACACACAATACACAGAGAGGTACACACACACAAGACTCCAACCAGCACACCTGGGACAACCATCCCTGTTGCTATGGTTACCACTGTGTGCTGCAGGTGTGAAGCCCTGGACGAACCTGATGGACGTTCTGGAGGAGAAGAACGGCGCTGACACAGAGCTGCTGGTATTCACCATGACGCTCATCAACAACTTACCGTCCTGACCCGGACCAGAACGTCAGAAAGCAGAACCAGAACCAGCCTCTGTCGGCTCATTCCCTGTGTGCTTCCGGTCCAGATTCTGGCGGCGCTGCCGGACCAGGACTCGTTCTACGACGTGACAGACTGCTTGGAGCGTCTGGGTATGGAGGCTGTGGTCCGAAAACACCTGAGCAGCAAGGGGGCGGAGCCTGACCTCAAGGCCCAGTTCTCCACCTATGAGGTACCATTGCTGAGGTCACGTGACGGTTCCGCTTCCTGTCCGCCGACACGGCGCCCCCTGCTGTCCTCATGTGTCTCCCGTCCTCCAGGCGGCTCTGCGGCATGAGGACGGAGATGTGGATGACTCCGCCCCCCTCCTCCGAAAGGAGAGGAGAAAGATGGCCGCCGGCGACCAGGAGGGCAGGAGGAGCCGCCACTCCAGTCAGAACCTGCCAGACTTGCTGTCCCCCACCCCGTCCACGCCTGTCCTCTCCCCGTCCTCCACCATATCCTCGCCCACGCTGGACAGCACCGCCTCGTCCCCGCTGTCCTCTGAACCCGGAAGCTCCGCCTCCAGCCCCTCCGGGTCCCCTTGGGGCTCGCCGCTGCCCCCCCACTCTGGACCCGGCAGCGATGCGTCCACCAAGCTGGGGACGAAGACGCCGTCCAGCCCGTGAGTCCACAGACCGGCACAGGTGCTGTTGGGTTGTCTCTGTCCAGCTGTTTTGGACCATGTTCTGGTTCTGTCCCAGGATGGAGACAGAACCAGTCAGGAAAATTGTTTGTCCTCCATGTTTGATAGCATACCAGTTCAGACCTGCACCGTTGCCAGGGCAACCCCACTACCGGGTCGCGCTCAGGTCCGGGTCTAAGCCTCAGCCCGTCTCGGGTCCGGCACCGGGTCCTCGGGTTCTGAGCAGGACCCGGTCCGTCCTCTCACGCTGGACATGCTGGTTTTAGTTTTGAGTTTTTAAATACTTTACAGGATTTAAAAAGGACAAAAATTGTGTTGCGATTATGTTGACATGGATTAAGTAACCAATCTACAGAAATCATTTTCTAAAAGTTCATTCGCCGTTTTCTGTCACGGGCTGCTGTGATTGGCCGACAGCTGACCAACTGGTTGTTCTCACAGAAAGGCTGGAAAAAACGAAGGATGTTTAGTTTTACGCTTTAGTTTGTTTTACAAACGCATACTGTAATTACTGATGTTATTTCAAAGAACAAAATCGTTTTTTCAGTTTCAGTTCTTATCTTGTCAGTTTTAGTAAACTATAATAGCTATAGTTACTATAGTTCTGGTTCCTCTCGGTCCGGTCCCATCATGTTCCTGATAGGTGGACCAGAAGTTACCTGGGACACCAGGTGTCTCGCCAGTCCTCTGGGTGTCCTCCTGTTGGTCTCTGTCCTCAGTCTCCTCTAATCCTCCATCTTTCCCCCTCTCGCCTCTGTGTCTCTGCGGTTGCACCCATCGGCCACCAGGAGTCGCTCTTTTCTCAGCCACCACATGTCGGCTCTGGTCTGGGCAGGAAGTCCCGCCTCTTCTCTAAAACCCGCTCCATCTCTGAGGAGCCTGGCTGCAGGTCAGTACCTTCCAACTGACCAACTATCAGCAGGCCCTGCAGCGCCCCCTGCAGGCTGAGCAGATATCGCAGCTCAGTAAAAAGTGAGAAGTTGATCCTGCAGGGGGCGCTGGAGGGCAAATCTCACACACACAGGGATTTTTCTTCTGGGTGTGTGACGAGGTTTAGTGCGTTTTATCGGACTGGGTCGAGTCCTGAGAGGTTCTGTTCAGGTTTTATTTATTTAAAATCAGGTTTTAATCAGGAAACAGCAAAAAAAAACTGAACCAGACAGCAGCAGCAGATCTGGCAGTAACCAAGTCTAGAACGCAAAGTCTTCATCATCTCTTCATGTGCTTGGCTCAGTCTCTCTCTCTCTCTGTGTGTGTGTGTGTGTGGTGTGTGTGTGTGTGTGTGTGTGTGCGTGCGTGCTACAGCTCATCTCCATCGGATCCGTCCCAGCAGAACTCAGATCAGCTGGTCAAAGCAGAGTCCAAACCTCGTCAGAAGTGAGTAAACCGACATCAGGTTAAGTCCTGACTGGTTTCGAACTGGTGGGACTGGAGTCCTCCCAGTTTCTCTCTCTGAAATTACTTGGAGAAATCGTCTTCCAGATCAGCTCTTGTCCTCTCTGGAATAATCTTGGATAAATTTGAGATTTTTTGATTCTTGGATTTTTCTTTGGATCGGTTCTGTTGGTCCAGATTTTTCTGTTGCTCGGTTCAACAGAACCGTCAATAGAACAGAACGGTTCTGTTGACGGCTCTTGCCTATTTTCAGCTTTTTTTCTGAAACTGTCTCCTCTTTCTCTCGATCTATGGTTATAGATTTTGTCCTGATTTTTTTGGGAAGTTTTTAATTCTAGGAAAATATTTTGGAATTTCAGAACATTTGACAAACTCCATGTCTGCTTAATTTCTTAAAGATTTTCTGGGATCCTCTGTAAACTTATTTCTTTTCTGGAACTATTTGTTGATTTTATTTTTAAATTTTTATCATCAAATTAAACGTTTTGTCTCTAGGCAGTGGTGGGCATTCTGTTCTGCTGATATCTGAGCTAATTAGCTTAGCACTTTAGCATTTTTGATAACTTTGAAAACATGTAGCACGCTCAGCTACACCTAAATGAATTTTTTCAGATAAAACCTAAAGTGCTAATTGGCTGCGTGTTTTCTGAATGTTTGGCAGAAGAAAATCAAGTCGAAACAAACACTAAATTAAACCCCAGCATGTTCTTTTGTATTTTGCCTAGGTATTTTAAAGATGTTAAGAAATGGAAGTTTCTCAACTTCACAGAATGTTGACGAATAATTTCCTCATTATTTTTAGGTTACGATGGTCAAGAATTTCAAATTAAATATTGTGCTTTAAGTTCTGTATCTTTTTAAGTATTTCTGTAAATGCGGCCAGGCACCAAGAATAACAATAATAATTTTTTCTCTGAATTGAAACAGTTTTTTTCTCTGATCAGAGATGTTTAGGAGCAAACAGCTTCAGCGATGATTTGAGCCATCTTTCCGGAGGAACGTATCAGATTTAAGGGATTTTTTTATTTTCATTTTTGTGGTCAGAGTTCTGGCACTAATTGTCCTCCGTAAAAATTAATGAATTTATTATTGTAGATATTAAAATGTCTTGGAATGAAATAGTTATTTTTTATATGGATTAAAAGTTTGACAGTTGGCTCCGCCCCCAGCATCAGTTCAGCCAATCACAGAGCTTCCTGCAGCAGCGTCTCTCGCCCCTCTCTCTCCGTCAGTGTTTTAACGGTTTCTCCTCCTCCTTTCCTCTCCTCTCCTCCGTTCTGTGCGTCCGTTCCCTCGTTCCTCCAGCTCGCTGGAGGCTGAGCAGGAAGTCTTCTGGTGAGTATTCTTCATCCTCCTCCTCTTCCTCGTGGCGCTCAGCTGCATAGATCCTCTGGTTTCAGGTCCAGTTCAGGTCCAGTTCAGGTCCAGTTCAGGTGTTACCACCTTAACTCTGGAATCAGAAACGTTTCAAACCTTTTGGACCCGACTAATCCACCTTCGGTTCTGTCTCATGCTGTTCTTTCCATCTTAGTTTTTGCTGTGATTCGGTTCTGATCCGGTGGGGGCAGAACCTCCGGGTACAGTTCCTCTTGTCTGGGTTCTGTGGGTCTGTGAGGAGTTTGTCATGCAGCTGAGTCGGTCCTGTCGGGTCGGGTCTGGCTGTGTGATGTGTGTGTGTCGTGTCTCTGCAGCCCAGAGGACTTTGATGTGAATCTGAACAAGCCGGTTCTGAAGAAGTTCCAGTAAGTACCGCCGCAGCCCCACTGCATGCTGGAGCTGCATGCTGGAGCTGCAGGGAGGCCTGCGGTTCTGGTGGGCCTTGCACGGTGTGGTTCTGATTCTGGTGACGTTTGGGTTCACAGGAAGCGGATCATTTTCCCTAACACTGTAAAAACACAAAGTCTGTTTGGTTCAGTTTCTACAGAAATGACCTAAAAACTGATAAGCAGATTCTGGAGATTAAATCAATAAATAATATTGATTAAAAGTTGCGGCTTCTTTGGCATCAGGAAAACGTTTTACTATGAGTGAATGATGTGGAACTTTTTATTGATTATTGATTTGATATATGAATAGTTATCAGTGAATTATCTCATTTCTGGTGAGACTGAAATCGGACCAAATCATTCGTATGTGTGCGTCTCTGTGTGTGTGTCCTAAACTGGATCGGAACCGGACCGAAGCCACATTCAGAACCGCCACTGCAGAGTGCTGGAGGAAAGGTTCTGGGTTCTGTTCAGCTGGCTAATTGGATCAGCTGAACTCAACAGAACCGGGTCAGGAACGTCTGGGTCCAGTCTGACTGCGCCTATCAGACTGATGGTGGTGGTGGGTCGGTTCTGGAGTCAGTGTCGGGTTGATTCTGGTTCGGTTGCAGTGACGATCCAATCTGATTTGCTGTCGTGTTCTGGACTCAAACCGACAGCGTGACCTTTGACCTGCAGGAGCTCGAGGGCCCTCCTGAGGTCATGTGATCCCGCCCATCAGGTCAGCCGATCAGACAGCAGAGTAAGCTCGGTTCTGATCGGTTCTGGAGCAAGTGGACCTGACGGCTCTGTTTCCACCCTGCAGCCGTTCACTGGAGGCTGGTTTGATTGGGATGAGTGATGCTGGGGCTGTCACAGCCTCAGAGGGAATCGTCATAGCAACCATCATCAGGGTTGCTTCCTTCCTGTTTCTGATGTTGGTCTAGATCAGGGTGTCAACATCCAGTCCAGGTGGGACGGCGTCCTGCAACCTTTAGATGAGCCTCTGCAGCACATGAATACAATAATTAGGTAATTAAGCCATTTCATCCCAGTGTTTTGTACCTGAGGCACATCGAAAAAACTGCAGGACAGCGTCCCTAAGGACTGGAGTTTGACACCCCTGGTCCAGATGGTTCTGAAGTGAGTCCGGTCCAGATGGTTCATCCACCTGGCTAAAACTCAATGGCAGTCCTCCTTTAGCCGACCAGCTGAATCCTGATCAGCTGAGAGGAGTTCTGGACACACTGGACCGGTGTCGGTTCTGGAGATCCGAAACTGGAGTATCACAGATCCTTCAGCTCAGTTCAGAAAACCAATCAAAACATTAAAAATCTAAGTAGATCCAGACTGTTGGCTTGAGTCCCACCTGGTTTCAAGTGGTCCCACCTGGTCTCACCTGTCCCACCCGGTCTCATCTGGTCTCACCGGGTCCCACCTGGTCTCACGTTGTCCCACCTGGTTCACCTGGTTTCAAGTGGTCCCACCTGGTCTCACGTTGTCCACCTGGTCTCACCTGGTTTCAAGTGGTCCCACCTGGTCTCACGTTGTCCCACCTGGTCTCACCTGGTCCCACCTGGTCTCACCTGGTTTCAAGTGGTCCCACCTGGTCTCACGTTGTCCCACCTGGTCCCACCTGGTTTCAAGTGGTCCCACCTGGTCTCACCTGGTTTCAAGTGGTCCCACCGTCTCACCTGTCCCACCTGGTCTCACCCGGTCTCATCTGGTCTCACCTGGTCCCACCTGGTCTCACCTATTCCACCTGGTCTCACGTGGTCCACGTTGTCCACCTGGTCTCACCTGGTCTCATCTGGTCTCACCTGGTCCCACCTGGTCTCACCTATTCCCACCTGGTCTCACGTGGTCCCACGTTGTCCCACCTGGTCTCATCTGTCCACCTGGTCTCATCTGTCCCACCTGGTCTCATCTGTCCCACCTGGTCTCATCTGGTCCCACCTGGTCTCATCTGTCCCACCTGGTCTCATCTGGTCCCACCTGGTCTCATCTGGTCCCACCTGGTCTCATCTGGTCCCACCTGGTCTCATCTGGTCCCACCTGGTCTCATCTGTCCCACCTGGTCTCATCTGGTCTCACCTGGTCTCATCTGGTCCCACCTGGTCTCATCTGGTCTCACCTGGTCTCATCTGGTCCCACCTGGTCTCATCTGTCCACCTGGTCTCATCTGGTCCCACCTGGTCTCACCTGGTCTCACGTGGTCCCACCTGGTCTTCTTCTCTCACAGAGGTCCCTTCCTGCGCAGCCTGGCAGCCACTAACTGGGACAAGAGCGGGAGAAGTAACACCTGAGTGTTCCCCAGTTGTCCCTGTGTGATGATGTCATCAGTCCATGCCCTGAGTCCAGCGCCGGTGCAGCACCTGAGCAACCCGGTAAGTAGACCCGGTTCTGAAGCTGCCGTGTTCAGCCTGCAGACGGATGTGCCTGAATGGGGAGTAATCTGGATGAATCTGTTTCTTCAGTCTCGACATCCAGCAGTTTGGAGACAAACGGAGCCTCAGACTCCCGGAATGATCCAGGTGAGAAACTACTGTACCCACGATGCCCTGCAGCCTGCTGCAGACCCACATCTAGATGGGAATCCTCATCATTTCTACGATGATGGCCTGGTGCTTTGTCCAACATTGAGAACCTTAAATGACTTAACTTCTGTGAAATGAGTTTTTCCAGGTGAATCTGAACGGCTAATCTAGCTGGCGGCTTTGTAAACTTCAGTTGAATAAATACAGAGTTAGCAAACTCAACAACCTTTGACCTGAAACCACAAAGAATCCTTTCTGAAGCGCCGGAGTGTAATGTCAGGTTTGGCCTTTGGAGGGCGATGTAACACATTGAGTTAAGGTGGGTAGCACCATGGTTAAAGTTAGCACTTTAGCATTAGCTTCTGCTGTTGATGCAAATGCTTATGCTCATCACTTTAGCAGCTAGCATGTTAGTTAGCGGTGGCTACCACTGGCTCCTAACGGTTCTGATTCTGACCAGAACTCGGCTTCGGGAGGTCGGTACTGTCCCTGCAAGTGGACACACGTGTGTGTGTGTGTGTGTGTGTGTGTGTGTGTGTGTGTGTGTGTGTGTGTGTGTGTGTGTGTGTGTGAAGCTCTCTGATGGATGTTGGTGATGCTCATCATGTTTGCAGCGGTTCCTGTGCAGCGGCAGTGCAGCACCCTGTCTGATGACACCATGTTGGTTCTGGACATGATGTATTCCAACTCCTCTACCGCAGTGCCCTCGACCCCGACTGATGATGCGTCTGGCTCCGCTAAGGAAGAAGAAGGCAGCTTCGCGCCCGGTGAGCCTGCGCAGGTTTCCAGGCTGCAGCAGATCCAGGCTTTATAGCCTGATGTGGATTCATGTTTTCTTCTTCTCTTTCCAGCAGCCGGTTCAGAAATTTGCAGCAAAGTGACGCCTCTGTTTGCTCTCCTCCAGGTGAAGATCTTTGTGGCCGTGTTTCGGAGCGACTGTCCGACTTCAGCTCACCATCGGTGGAGTCCGGCGCAGAGAGCAGCGCCCCCCAGAGGGCGGAGCTGGAATGCCTGAAGGGCTCGGCGCAGGCGGCCAGGGCCCGGCTGGCCGAGGAGCAGAAGGTACCGGTACTGGGTCAGATAGTGTCTGGGTCAGCTCAGCTGCGAATCAGGTCACTGAAAGGATCCATGACCGGCTCAGTGTGGCGGCCTAACTCTGCTTCATTATCCCTGTTGACATGAAAGTTGTTTCTGTGATGCAGTAAAAACTCATTAATACGTCTTTTGTTTATTTTTCACCTTTGGGTCGCCATTTTTTTTAACCTGTGCATTGCAGGAGCTAATGCCATTAGCAGAAGGTAAAATCATAAGGTGGAGCTAACACCTGAAGGAGGAGCTAACTCCACTAGCAGGAGCAAGAACTAACATAATTAGCTAGTGCTAAAACAATTAGCAAACTATATAAAGATGAACAAAGACAGTTTTGGTCAGATCATCTGATGTGGGTCAACATCTGGAGTTTATTGTGTCTGCTTATTTCCAGATGAGCAGCTTCACGTTCAAAACAGGCTGAAACGATTCAGTTCCTCGACTATTAAAACTCCTCTAGGAAAATGTATCTGCCTTGAAGCTTTGTTAGTTTATGTTTTATTGTTTAGCACCGTGTTCACAACATTAGCTTTACATGCAGCTTCCTCTGGGTTGAAGCTAAGAAGCTAAGTGTTAGCAGCTTGACGTCAGTGACTGATCACTGGATCCAAAGGAAACGCCTCGCCTTCGTATTTTGTGACTAAAGATGAAGTATATGTCCTTTTTTTTTGTTGTTCCCCTGGGGCTCATGAACTACAGAACTGTTTCCTGTTAGCTATACCAGACATGTGACCTGCAGATGATGAAGACCTGAATGCATGTTCAGAAACTCTGGTGCCTTTTCCTTTTTTTATTTTATTTTATTTTACAAACACCACCCAGTTCTTGTATAATTCCTGCCACATCACTGACAATGCATCACTGCCAGGATGCATTGCTGTGTTGCAGTTCTGTGTGAGGAAGCGGGCTGACTGTGTCCGTCTCCCATCAGAACCGTTTGGTCCGGCAGCAGAGCGGCGTGAGGGCGGATCCTGCGGCGTGGCGCCTGGAGTCCATAAACTCTGTGGGTCCGGCGGACGCCTGGGATCAGCTGCAGCCCAGCGGTGCCGACCTGAAGATCAAAGACCTGGACTTCTCCGACCTGCTGGAGGACGAGGACATCGACGTCCTGGACATGGACACCAACTCCTCCTCTTCTTCCCATTTCTCAGGCATCCCTCCTCCCCCGCCGCCGCCACCAGGAGGCGCTGCTCCCCCGCCTCCTCCTCCGCCCCCTCCAGGCGTCCCCCCGGCTCCGCCCCCTCCAGGCGTCCCCCCGGCTCCGCCCCCTCCAGGCGTCCCCCGGCTCCGCCCCCTCTGAGCGGCGGGTCGGGCCTGACGAAGAAGAAGACAGTGAAGCTGTTCTGGAAGGAGCTGAAGCAGGCGGAGAGCCAGCAGAAATGTCACTTTGGCCGCGGGACGGTGTGGGCATCGCTGGACAAGGTGGAGGTGGACACGGCGCGCCTGGAGACGCTGTTCGAGTCCAAGTCCAAGGAACTGCCGGTCACCAAGGTAACCAGCTAACCCCCCCCTCAGGACAGAACAGTCCGGTTTCCTAATTGTCCCTAACGTGTCTCTAATGTCTCCCCTGCAGAAGGGACCAGAACCCAAGAAGTCTCTGGTTCTGGACCCAAAGCGGAGCAACGCCATCAACATCGGCCTGACCGTCCTTCCTGCCGTCCACGTCATCAAGAACGCCATCCTGAGCTTCGACGAGTACGCCATCAGCAAAGAGGGCGTGGAGGTACGCAGCGCTGCCGGACCGGTGCTCTGGTCCTCTGACCCGTTTGGGCCGGTACGGACCTCACGGCCTCTTTGTTGTGAGCAGAAGATCCTGACGATGATCCCGACTGAGGAGGAGAAGCAGAAGATCCAGGAGGCCCAGCTGGTGAACCCCGACCTGCCGCTGGGAACCGCAGAGCAGTTCCTGCTCACCCTGGCCTCCATCAGTGCCCTGAACCCCCGCCTGCAGCTCTGGGCCTTCAAGCTCAACTATGAGGTTCTAGAGAAGGTGAGTGCACGGCTCTGGTTCCGCTGCGGGTTCCGCCCCCCAGTTCCGGTTCCGCTGACGCGCTGTCGCCCCCTGCAGGAGATCGCGGAGCCTCTGTTCGACCTGAAGCTGGGCATGGAGCAGCTGGCATCCAATCAGACGTTCAGGAGGATCCTCGCCACTCTGCTCGCCATCGGCAACTTCCTCAACAGCTCCAACGTGAGAAACAAGCGTCCCGGAAACATCCCAGTCGCTCCCAGTCTCACCAGTGCGGCTCTTCTCTGTTTCAGGCCAAAGGCTTCGAGCTGAGTTACCTGGAGAAGGTGGTGGAGGTGAAGGACACCGTCCACCGCCACTCGCTGCTGCACCACACCTGCAGCCTGCTGGAGGACAATTACCCACAATCCTCTGACGTCTACTCCGAGATCCCCGCCATCACCCGCTCCGCCAAAGTACGCCTCACCTGTCCCATCTTCACCTGTTCACATCCATTCATGTCACTGCTCATTATGATGTCACCGCTCATTATGACGTCACCGCTCATGATGACGTCACCGCTCATGATGATGTCCCCGCTCATGATGATGTCACCGCTCGTCCTCGTGTCTCCTGTTTTGCTCCAGGTGGACTTTGACCTGCTCGCAGAAAACCTGGTCCTGCTGGAGAGGCGCTGCAAGGCATCATGGGAGAACCTGAAGCTGGTGGCCAAGCATGAGAGCAAGGCGGTTCTGAAGAACAAGATGACGGAGTTCCTCAGGGACTGCACCCAGAGGATCAAGATCCTGAAGGTCGTCCACAGGAGGGTCATCAACAGGTAGGGAGCGTGGCGCCAACCCGTCCGTCCCCGGAGACGGCGTGGACGGGTGTGGACTGACGTGTCCCCTGCAGGTTCCACTCCTTCCTGCTGTTCCTGGGTCAGCCGTCCTTCTCCGTCCGAGACGTGAAGGTCACCAGCTTCTGCCGCATCATCAGCGAGTTCGCTCTGGAGTACCGCACCACCCGCGAACGCGTCCTCACCATCAGACGCAAACGCACCATCAAGAGAGAGCGGAACAAGACCCGGGGCATGCTGATCACCCAGGTAACGTTCCGGGGTCAGAGGTCAAGGGTCAGGAGGCGTTTCTGCTAAGTTTGATCCACAGCAGCTGGATCAGCGCTTCCTGTTCCTACAGTGCAGATACAGCAGGGGGCGCTGCTGCACAGAAATACCTGGAAGCGGTGATGCAGCAGAAGAAAAGTGTTTATTTTTCTGAACTTCCTGGGAATCGCCTCCAGGTTTCAGGCCTCCTCTCATCTTTTTCCCGCAGACGGAAAAGTTTTCCGGCGTTCCTGTTGCGGACGGCGTCTCGCCCGTCTCCATGGCAACAGACCCCAGCTCTGATCAGGAGGAGGAGCATGAAACCATGACGACCGTGCTGACCAGCAGCTGCAGCAGCTGCAGCAGCTGCAGCAGCCTGACCGTTCATCCTGCAGGCCTGCGGCGCTCCAGAGCCGTCCGCAGTGAGTACCGCAGAACCCCGGTCTGGTTCTGGGTCTGGTTCTGGGTCTGGGTCTGGTCTGGTTCTGGGTCTGGGTCTGGTTCTGGGTCTGGTTCTGGTTCTGGGTCTGGTTCTGGTTCTGGGTCTGGTTCTGGTTCTGGGTCTGGTTCTGGTTCTGGTTCTGTTGCCTAGGTAACCGCTCTGCAAGTCCATCCACTCTGACTGTTGCTCGGGACGACGGGACCGGCTCTCAGGACGACGCCGCTGATGACATCATGGATCGACTGGTGAAGTCTGTGACCCATAACCGGTCGAACAGAACCGCCAGCCCAAGGACCCGCAAACGGTCCCGACTCAACAGGAAGTCCAGTGAGTCCAGACACTCCCAGGTTCTGCTGAGACTCGACAGAATCACTTCCCTTTCTATCATTAGCTGACGCTAACACCAGAGCTATAGTTAGCTGTAGCTAACGCTAAAGCTATAGTTAGCTGTAGCTAACACCAGAGCTATAGTTAGCTGTAGCTAACGCTAAAGCTATAGTTAGCTGTAGCTAACACCAGAACTATAGTTAGCTGTAGCTAATGCTACAGCTATAGTTAGCTGTAGCTAACGCTAAAGCTATAGTTAGCTGTAGATAACACCAGAGCTATAGTTAGCCGTAGCTAACGCTAAAGCTATAGTTAGCTGTAGATAACACCAGAGCTATAGTTAGCTGTAGCTAACACCAGAGCTATAGTTAGCTGTAGCTAATGCTACAGCTATAGTTAGCTGTAGCTAACGCTAAAGCTATAGTTAGCTGTAGATAACACCAGAGCTATAGTTAGCTGTAGCTAACACCAGAGCTATAGTTAGCTGTAGCTAATGCTACAGCTATAGTTAGCTGTAGCTAACGCTAAAGCTATAGTTAGCTGTAGATAACACCAGAGCTATAGTTAGCTGTAGCTAACACCAGAGCTATAGTTAGCTGTAGCTAACGCTAAAGCTATAGTTAGCTGTAGCTAACGCTAATGCTACACCAACATGCTGTGCGGTAAAGCTCGTTGGCATAGCGACGGGACGTCTAAGCTAACACTGGGTCAGTCCGGTTCTGGTTCTGTTTGAAACCAAACAGCAGCTCTGTTTCCCAAACAGCCGTTTGGGAAACAATGTTTTCACTTCCTGACTAAATCCCGCTGAGCGGATTAGCGTCCGTCTGCTGGAAGTCACCAACCCACCATGTTGGAGTAACGGCCAGCAGAACCTTTCCCAGGTTCTGATGTTGGGCTCGGGTCTAGGGTTTCTCCTCCAGCTGAGGATTCATGACACCAGCAGCTGAAATGACCTCTGACCTGTTGAGGTTTTTACTTATGTGATGGAGATGAAAACGTCATGTTTCTGAGTTCTGACCCGTTTTCTCTGTGTGCTGCAGTGCGAAGGACCCTGAAGGGCGGATTGGACCTGGAGGCGGTCCAGGCTCTGGGTCTGCAGCCCAGCAAGTCGGGAGACAGAGTGTGACCTCGTGCCGACCTCCTGACCTGCTGCTGCTCCAGCGTTTATCTCCTCATCTGTTTGCAAATTAACCTTCAGTGTAGAGACAGGAGCTCAGACTGCGGATCAGAACCAGAACCAGAACTGATCTGTTTGCTCTTCACACCAGACCAGGACTTACCTGCTGCCTCGTTGGTTCTGATCCAGAAAGTCCTGTAGGTGGACGGCCCAGAAGAACATGGATCAGAACAAACTGCCTGAGATGAACTTCAGAACCGCCTGCAGCTTCTAGAGGCTTCAGTTAGCCAAGGTTCTGCTCAGGTTCTGTTGGTTCTGGACCTCTCACCTCCACAACATTCTTGTTCGTCTGGTACCGACTACACACCTGCGACTACACAGTGTGATGTCACTGGGTTCTGGTGTGATGTCACTGGGTTCTGGTGTGATGAGATGTGAGGCTGAATGTTTTTCTGCTGTTAATAAAGATTTTCAAAAAAATTAGGCGTTCTGGTTCTGGTTCTTCCACCAGTAGAACCTCCAGTTCCAGTTAGAACTCCAGTGGACATGTCGGCCCGGTTCTGGGTGTCTGTTCTTCTTGGACCCGACTCAGTCTCTCCAGAACCGCTTCAGCATAGGAACAGGAAGTGAGTCCATCAGTACTTCCTGTTTGTTTCACCTTCCTTTGAAGAGCTCAGCAGACCAACGGTTCTGTAAAGTTCAAAAGCTTCGCAGCTCAAATATTCAGTTGAAATATTAAACATCAAAAGTTATTTTATTCCTACATAACGTTTCCCGCGCTGCGCCATCCAACCGCATCCAACCATCCAACGCATCCAACCATCCAACCGTCCAACCATCCAACCGCATCCAACCATCCAACCGTCCAACCGCATCCAACCATCCAACCGCATCCAACCATCCAACCGTCCAACCGCATCCAACCATCCAACCGCATCCAACCATCCAACCGTCCAACCGCATCCAACCATCCAACCGCATCCAACCGCATCCAACCATCCAACCGCATCCAACCATCCATCCGTCCAACCGCATCCAACCATCCAACCGCATCCAACCATCCAACCGCATCCAACCATCCAACCGCATCCAACCATCCAACCGTCCAACCGCATCCAACCATCCAACCGTCCAACCGCATCCAACCATCCAACCGCATCCAACCATCCGACCGCATCAACCATCCAACCGCATCCAACCGTCCAACCGCATCCAACCATCCACCCGCATCCAACCATCCAACCGCATCCAACCATCCAACCGTCCAACCGCATCCAACCGTCCACTGCATCCAACCATCCAACCGCATCCAACCGTCCAACCGCATCCAACCGTCCAACCGCATCCAACCATCCAACCGTCCAACCGCATCCAACCGTCCAACCGCATCCAACCGTCCAACCGCATCCAACCGCATCCAACCGTCCAACCGCATCCAACCGTCCAACCGCATCCAACCATCCAACCGCATCCAACCATCCAACCGCATCCAACCATCCAACCGCATCCAACCGTCCAACCGCATCCAACCGTCCAACCGCATCCAACCATCCAACCGCATCCAACCATCCAACCGCATCCAACCGTCCAACCGCATCCAACCATCCAACCGCATCCACCATCCAACCGTCCAACCGCATCCAACCATCCAACTGCATCCAACCATCCAACCGCATCCAACCGTCCAACCGCATCCAACCGTCCAACCGCATCCAACCATCCAACCGTCCAACCGCATCCAACCGTCCAACCGCATCCAACCGTCCAACCGCATCCAACCATCCAACCGCATCCAACCATCCAACCGCATCCAACCATCCAACCGCATCCAACCGTCCAACCGCATCCAACCGTCCAACCGCATCCAACCATCCAACCGCATCCAACCATCCAACCGCATCCAACCGTCCAACCGCATCCAACCATCCAACCGCATCCAACCATCCAACCGCATCCAACCGTCCAACCGCATCCATCCAACCAACAGCATCCAACCGTCCAACCGCATCCAACCATCCAACCGTCCAACCGCATCCAACCATCCAACCGTCCAACCGCATCCAACCATCCAACCGCATCCAACCGTCCAACCGCATCCAACCATCCAACCGCATCCAACCGTCCAACCGCATCCAACCATCCAACAGCATCCAACCGTCCAACCGCATCCAACCGTCCAACCGCATCCAACCATCCAACCGTCCAACCGTCCAACCGCATCCAACCGTCCAACCGTGTCCAACCGCATCCAACCATCCAACCGCATCCAACCAACCAACAGCATCCATCCAACCACATCCAACCATCCAACCGCATCCAACCAACCAACAGCATCCAACCAACCACATCCAACCATCCAACCGCATCCAACCAACCAACAGCATCCAACCAACCAACAGCATCCAACCAACCAACAGCATCCAACCGTCCAACCGCATCCAACCATCCAACCGCATCCATCCGACCAACAGCATCCAACCGTCCAACCGCATCCAACCGTCCAACCGCATCCAACCATCCAACCGCATCCAACCGTCCAACCGCATCCAACCATCCAACCGCATCCATCCGACCAACAGCATCCAACCGTCCAACCGCATCCAACCATCCAACCGTCCAACCGCATCCAACCATCCAACCGCATCCAACCGTCCAACCGCATCCAACCATCCAACCGCATCCAACCATCCAACCGCATCCAACCATCCAACCGCATCCAACCATCCAACCGCATCCAACCGTCCAACCGCATCCAACCATCCAAAAGCATCCAACCATCCAACCGCATCCATCCAACCGCATCCAACCATCCAACAGCATCCAACCATCCAACAGCATCCAACCAACCAACAGCATCCATCCAATGGCATCCAACCATCCAACAGCATCCAACCATCCAACAGCATCCAACCAACAGCATCCACCATCCAACCGCATCCAACCATCCAACAGCATCCAACCAACCAACAGCATCCATCCAACCGTCCAACAGCATTCAACCATCCAACAGCATCCAACCAACAGCATCCAACCATCCAACAGCATCCAACCATCCAACAGCATCCACCGTCCAACCGCATCCAACCATCCAACAGCATCCAACCAACCAACAGCATCCATTCAACCGTCCAACATGATCCAACATCCAACAGCATCCAACCATCCAACAGCATCCAACCATCCAACAGCATCCAACCGTCCAACCGCATCCAACCATCCGACAGCATCCAACCAACCAACAGCATCCATTCAACCGTCCAACCGCATCCAACCGTCCAACAGCATCCAACCAACCAACAGCATCCAACTGTCCAACAGCATCCAACCATCCAACAGCATCCAACCAACAGCATCCAACCGTCCAACAGTATCCAACCATCCAACAGCATCCAACCATCCAACAGCATCCAACCGTCCAACAGTATCCAACCATCCAACCGCATCCAACCATCCAACAGCATCCAACCAACAGCATCCAACCGTCCTACAGCATCCAACCATTCAACAGCATCCAACCATCCAACAGCATCCAACCATCCAACCGCATCCAACCGTCCAACAGCATCCAACCATCCAACAGCATCCAACCATCCAACAGCATCCATCCAACCGCATCCAACCATCCAACAGCATGCAACCAACAGCATCCATCCGTCCAACAGCATCCAACCAACAGCATCCAACCATCCAACAGCATCCAGCCATCCAACAGCATCCAACCGTCCAACAGCATCCAACCGTCCAACAGCATCCAACCATCCAACCGTCCAACAGCATCCAACCAACAGCATCCAACCATCCAACAGCATCCAACCATCCAACAGCATCCATCCGTCCAACAGCATCCAACCAACAGCATCCAACCATCCAACAGCATCCAGCCATCCAACAGCATCCAACCGTCCAACAGCATCCAACCGTCCAACAGCATCCAACCATCCAACCGCATCCAACCGTCCAACAGCATCCAACCAACAGCCTCCAACCTTCCAACAGCATCCAACCGTCCAACAGCATCCAACCATCCAACAGCATCCAACCGTCCAACCGCATCCAACCATCCAACAGCATCCAACCAACCAACAACATCCATCCAACCGCATCCAACCGTCCAACAACATCCAACCATCCAACAGCATCCAACCGTCCAACAGCATCCAACCATCCAACCGTCCAACAGCATCCAACCGTCCAACCGCATCCAACCAACCAACAGCATCCAACCAACCAACAACATCCATCCAACCGCATCCAACCGTCCAACAACATCCAACCATCCAACAGCATCCAACCGTCCAACAGCATCCAACCATCCAACAGCATCCCAACCGTCCAACCGCATCCAACCATCCAACAGCATCCAACCAACCAACCGCATCCAACCAACCAACAGCATCCAACCAACCAACAGCATCCATCCAACCGCATCCAACCGTCCAACAGCATCCAACCATCCAACAGCATCCAACAGTCCAACAGCATCCAACCATCCAACAGCATCCAACCAACCAACCGCATCCAACCAACCAACAGCATCCAACCAACCAACAGCATCCATCCAACCGCATCCAACCGTCCAACAGCATCCAACCATCCAACAGCATCCAACAGTCCAACAGCATCCAACCATCCAACAGCATCCAACCAACCAACCGCATCCAACCAACCAACAGCATCCAACCAACCAACAGCATCCATCCAACCGCATCCAACCGTCCAACAGCATCCAACCATCCAACAGCATCCAACAGTCCAACAGCATCCAACCATCCAACAGCATCCAACCATCCAACAGCATCCAACCGTCCAACAGCATCCAACCGTCCAACAGCATCCAACCAACCAACAGCATCCAACCATCCAACAGCATCCATCCAACCGCATCCAACCGTCCAACAGCATCCAACCGTCCAACAGCATCCAACCGTCCTACAGCATCCAACCATCCAACAGCATCCAACCGTCCAACAGCATCCATCCAACCGCATCCAACCGTCCAACAGCATCCAACCATCCACCAGCATCCAACCATCCAACAGCATCCATCCAACCGCATCCAACCGTCCAACAGCATCCAACCATCCAACAGCATCCAACCATCCAACAGCATCCAACCATCCAACAGCATCCAACCGTCCAACAGCATCCAACCATCCAACAGCATCCATCCAACCGTCCAACAGCATCCAACCATCCAACAGCATCCAACCGTCCAACAGCATCCAACCATCCAACAGCATCCAACCGTCCAACATGTGAAGAGCCCGATGGTCCTGCTCCTCTTCATCCCACTGTGTTTAACCAGAACCAGAACCCTGAGATGGGTTAGAACCGGCAGCTGTTTTTTTATGCGTCATAGTCAAACGGACCGACGTATGACGTCAGAGATAGAGTATTGAGTTGTGACGTGGTTGATCAGATCGGCTCGTGTCTTTAAGGGTGAGTGGGCGGGTCAGCTTCCTCTTCCTCCTCCCTGGGTGTGTGTGTAGGAGGAGGGAGTGTGTGTGTGTGTGTGTGTGTGTGTGTGTGTGTGTGTGTGTGTGTGTGTGTGTGTGTGTGTGTGTGTGTGTGTTTCGACCCGGCTGCCGGCCTCCCTCTGCGGCTCCTCTCCTCTCGGTGTGTATATAAAGCTCGCGGGATGCCAGCGCCCTGAGCTCCGGGATGAAGATGCTGCTGCTCGGTCTGCTGCTGCTGCTGCTCCCGGCCGGAGCCGACCTGTCCGGGTCAGCCGCTCCGCTCCGGGGGCCGGCCCACACCTCTCCCTCCGCCCCGCCGCGGCTCCTCCTCCTGCAGCCCGCACTGGAGCGCGGGGCTCCCGGCGTCGCCTCGGCCCGGTCCGCGGAACCGGCCGGCGGCGGCGGGTCGGAGGAGCCGGCGGCGGCGGAGCATCCTCACCACGGCGGCGGGTACCGGGTGGTCCAGTGGGAGTGGAGCTACGTCCAGACGCCCTACATCATCGCCATCTGGCTGCTGGTGGCCAGCGTGGCCAAGATCCGTAAGTCCGCCGCTGTGCGTGTGTGATAGATGTCAGACTGGACCGGAACTGGTTTTACTCGAAGTTTCACGAGAAACACAAGGGCGCAATAACCTCGCGAGGGGCCCGGGGCAAAAAAGATGGGGGCACCTAATGAATCATTTTATTGGCTGATCATAAAAAATTCTGATGAAACCCGAACCTGTCACTGGATCCTGAATCTCAAGAATTTAAAGTTTATTCAATGAAAACCAGGATTTGAAAGTTTGGTGGCTGTGAAGGACAAACTGGTCCCACAATGTCCTCATTGATTCTAAGAGTTATTTCAGACAACGACTTAAAAAAGACGATTAAATGAGCTAATTCCAATAAATGTATTCAACGTGTTGTTTTATAAATAAATCAGTTTTTCTAACTAATTATTAAGTTAGTTATAAACTTAAACTTGTTTAAGTTTCGGTTATCGGTTTCATCGGTTGCTCAAAGAAACAAGTCCTTTAATTTGACTGAAAGGAGAATAATCTGGATAAATTCTCTCGGTTGTTTATATTTCTGTAATGAGTTAATATTTATTGATAATAGATTTTATTAGTTAATATTTAATCTGCTTCAGAATCGGTGTTTCTGTGTGACTTTAGCTCAGATTTTCTGCAGGAGGGTAGGTGGAGCTGTTGATGCTTCATCACCATCATCATCGTCATCATCATCATCATCATCATCATCAGGTGGAGCAGCAACAGGTGGTTGGCAGGAAGTTTGCTTTTCTTTATGACTGTCAGACAAAAGGCTCCTCCTTTTTCCTCCCACCTGGAGAAACTTCAGCGTGAAGGTTGGCAGCAGAGGAAGAGGAGGGAGAGGAAGAGCTAAGATATAAATCATGTTGATCCAGATTCAAACTAAGGAAACTGAGCTGTGCAGAATTTTTCTGATGATTCTGTAAAAAACAATGAGCTGAAAAAACAAAAACAGTTTGAAAAAAAGCTTCAGGTGCAGGAAGAGCCACACACACACACACACACACACACACACACACACACACACACACACACACACCACACACACACACACACACACACACACACACACACACACCACGCACACACACACCTGGAGTGGCTGCCAGCTGAGCTCCTGGTGGATCTGAAGGAGGAAGGAAACATCAAAGTGTTTCTGTTTCCTCCATGACTCCCAGTCGCTCTGTGAACTGGGAACTCTGGTCCAGTCTGCTATCATCACCGTCTGGGTAATCCGATTACTGATGCAGCACCGTCATTCTGCTCTGCTTCCTGTAATCCACCATGACTGCATGTGACCCGAGCAACAAAGCCGCCATGTTGACGTGAGGCAATGAATCAGCTAGAGGTGATGCAGGAAGTGATGCAGGAAGTGATGCAGGAAGTGATGACACCTGGTTTTAAAAACTGACTGGCCAAGCTCACGTTTCTGACTCAAAAGAGCAGCTAACCTTCATGGTGCAGACTGAGCTTCTGAGCAAAACGATAAGTTTGTTGTTTTGCAGCCTGGGTTTTCTGCAAATCCAGTAACTTTCACAATAACAACTCATTTTACACAAACTTCCATCCATCCATCCATTTTCACCCTTCT